GGCTGAGCTGCGTCGCGCTGCCAGGTGACTGCTCCTATATATAGTAAATATATATATATATGTGTATATATATATCTGTATATGTATATATATGTAACTGATGAGCTTAACGAACGGAAGGCAACTTCCTCTTTCGACATTAAAGTTGAGCGAAAAGAACAACATTTTGAAGCGTTTATGGCCAACGCTGTCTTAGCCTGGCTTTTAATAGAATTTTTGTTCGCTTTGCTTTGGCTTGAGTCTGGTCAAACAGAAAAACAAGCTGGGAAATAAATCCCCTCATCTCCCATCTCATCTCATTAAATTACTTATATTGCTTACCACATGGCTAATCTAATAAGCAAACGGAGAAGTTCACATTTTGTTTAAGATTTAGTTCTCATTTAATTATCTAATTGGTTAAGTTTTTCATTTAAATAGAATTTAACCCAGCTTTAGTAGCAGCTTAACATGCCTTTTGTAAACGTTTCTTGTGAGTGAAAAGTTTTGAGATTTAGTTCAAATTTATTTAAATGTTCAGTCAGTGAGTCCAGCTGAAAAGTATGCTATACTTTTTTTGCTACAATGAAACTAGGAAAACTCGTTTGATTTGCATATCCCTTTTGTATATGCTGGATGGGTTTGATTTAAAGTGAATATTTAATTCTGTGGAGTGTTTTGGTGAAGTGAATATATATATGTATATGTATATATTGTATATCATATCTATGGTTGTTCTGGGTGATCAGAAGCTCTGTCATCCCTAGGCTTCAAGGATAGTTGAGCTCTTTAAAGAAACAAATCTTATTGAGCTATATAAAAACTGTTATAAAACCCATGCTTCACATATGTATATAACATTGAATGAATTTATACAAAGAATCTAGTTTTTTGTCTTTTACTGTAAGATATATTTACTAACATTTTGAAGTTTAAACAACTTTATCATACATCAATATTAAACTAAAATTTGATCAAAGCTGGCAATATATATTTATATATATACATATATACTTATTAAAATAAAGAATTACTCTACTCTTGAAAGATTACCCTTAGCTTACGCATTCGCTTGGTCTTCCATATTGCCTCTCTATATGCACCTATAATTAAGTCTTTATCTTATCAGTAACCAACCACCTTATACCCTTAACAATATATACTTATTTATATATAGCTYTTCCAATGAAATTTATTGCTTGCTTGCATGGTTAACTAAGAAAATAATTGGAATGCCTATGAATTATGGACATCATGTTTTATGTATAGCATATAGCAAGCCGATTTGTAACGGTGCATGGGCTAACTAACGAAGCGCACACAGACACACAAACACACGCACACACACACACAAGCACACTCAAGTGTCTTGTTGTTGTAGCTGTGGCTGTTACGTGCGAAGCTTCCTGCTTTTTGTGCAGCATTTTAGCTGGAGCATAAATTACAACTTCAGAGGTTAGCAACACTCACAAATACACACACACACACCAAGCCGCACACACACACATACAACAGATGCGTATTTATGCTGTGGGTAGCTGCTTGGCTGTCAGTGTCGCCGGCTGCCACTGCTTACATAATGTTAATGATGCTGCCCGGGCCTGTCCGTCCCGTGCCGGGGCTCATTTCATGTTGTTTGCAAAAAACATAAAAAATAACACAAATACAAAAGTAAATGTCAAACAATATGCAGCTGCTGCGACACGTGACATGAGGCGTGGGCATGACCTGCGGATGTGCACAATGGACGCACTGCATCCTTTACTAAATTGTTTTCCCCTGTTGCTGTCGCCGTTGTTGTTGCTGTTGTTGTTGTTGTTGTTGTTGTTGTTGTTGTTGTTGTTGTTGCATATTATTTCAATTTGGCGGCATAATAAAGTGCTTCCGTTGTGAGTCGCCTTGCAACGTGTATGCAACGCCTCAGCTGCAGCATCCCCAAGGATAATGCCATTCAAGCTTGGCTTCGTTATGCTTGTTTGTGCTGATGCACACATGGGGCGTCATGGGACAGTGCTATGTACTCCTGCCTTGACACGCTCACACACACGCACACATACACGCACACATACACACACAAATATACTCACACAGCTGCAAAGTTCATGGCCCCCGCTTTCAGCTCCGGCAATTGGCATTAAGTGACCGCCAAACGTGTCATTTGAGCTGCTCGAGCGGCGTCGCCTCTGCCCTGGCCAAGGTCAAATTTAACTGTTTTGATTTAATTTATTGTTGCATACATTTGAGCGCTCATAAAATGCCAAATACACAGACTGGCAGACACCTGCTCCAGCTCCCAGCGCGTTGCTTCTGCTTCCTTTCCCGTTTTTCTTTTCGTTTTTTTTTTTTTCAGCGGCTAGCAAAGCCAATATTTTGCTTGTCTGCCTCTGTTTATCTTTGTCTTTGTCTCTGAGCGCGTGCATGTGTTTGTGTGTGTGAGTATTTTGATTGCTTTTGCTCACACTCTTAGCACAACACCCCATTATACACATACACAAATACAGTCATCCCCACCCACACAGTCAAGAGGTGACTCAATGTCTTGCTCATTTCCTTCGAATGGACGAAACGAAACTATATTCAACATTTCTTTATGCCCGGCTGTCCGTATGTATGTGTCTGTGTCTGTGTGTGTGTTTGTGTGTGTCTGTGTGGGTAAGATTCTTTGTGGCATAAATAGGGGCTTTCTGCTGCCATATCATACATACATACACATACATATACATTTATATATGTGTATATGTAGCCAACTTTAAATGACTTTCCTTTTGCCCATTCGTAAAAGGCTTGTAAATTGCTTTTACATTGGTTTCTTGTTAACTTTATCTCATACCTTACCAAATATATTTCTTCTTCTACTTCTTTTTTATTTTTATTTTTTGCCAACTTTATTTTGCCTTGAAAATTAACTGAAAAGTTTTATTTTTATAACCGTAGCAAAATCTGTGCTAAGCTGACAACTTTAAGAAACCTTTCAAAATGGCTTCCAATCAATATTTTTGTTTTACACAGAGCTAAATATAAACTAGAGAGTTTTTATTAAAACTCTTGCTGCAACTCTAGCAAATTTTTACTAGCTCACAGCTGAGTAAATAGGTTTTTTTTTTTTTTTTTTTTTGTTTTTTCTTGCTATAATTAACTTGATTATGAGGTGCAACTAATGGGGTAGATTAGACTAGCTGAGTCGCTTCTCTGGCCTATTGCGAACTCTAACTTGCTTGTGCTTAAATTAGTTAGAGCTAAGCATAGACTTTAGCCAACTTTTAAGCACAGTTT